GCTTGATGGCATCTCTCTTTTTTGACAATTTTTTTACTGAAGCCACCTCCACGCGCCTCGCCTGAGAACAGATTCACTTTATCAACAGTGATCTTGAAACTATTACCAACTTGAGCAACCTAGTCAAATTCAATGCTTCCAGAACTCAAGCAACTCAAATAAAAAAATCTTCCGCCGATGATAAGCCAGTTTTAAGCATGTCGGGACAAAACCTTTCTTTCATCCCTCAGTACCTATCTCTTCTTGGGGTGACCGTATCGACCAACTTGTCTTGGCATGAGCATGTATCTTCATTCGCCACAACCGCTTCTCAAAAATCAAGTTTTTTGTTTCGTGCAACAAACCTCTCTACTTCTGAACATTTTTTTCTCATAAGGCTCCAAACAGACCATTTATGGGAGTACTGTTCCCACATCTGGAGCGATGCTCCCGAGCATTCGTTTGCTCTACTAGATGTAGTACAAAGGATCGATGATCCAAATCTCACCGATTTATTGCAATCTCTCGAACATAGACGGAAGGTCGCCGACTCGTCGTTTTCCTAACGCCTCTACCATGGGAGATGCCAGCCTCATTCCAGCCTGGAGGAATAACTTAACAACCACAAGAACCTCACAGGCATTCCATCCGTATGTGGTAAAGTTAAGGATTTTTTCTGGTGGCGCACTGCCCATCTCTGGAACTTTCTGCCTCCTACTTCATTTCTTGAATGATTTAACCTTAACGTGTTTAAACGGAGGGAAACGAACCATTAACCTTTCATTTCTTTCGCTTATATGTATACATAAACAATTTTTCCTAATACATGCAATATATTATATACTAGCTGACCCGGCGAACTTCGTACAGCCTCTGAATTATTAAATACCTATTAAATGTTGTGTTAACGTATCTATTAGCTGAATTAAATTGATCCGTTTTTTTCGATGGTGAATTTGGCTTTGGTTGAAGAAAATTAATGTTTACTCTCTGGATCAGAAGTCACCTAAAATTAAAATTTTAAATCATCCCTTTTTAGGCAGCTTGTAGGCATTATTCTTGAAAAGTGTACCACCAAATAAATAAACTCTGGCACAGAAATGTTCAACGAGTGTAAAGAAAACAAAAAAAATCTCCAGCGCAGCCCTTTTTCACTCTATCTGCACTGCACTACTCCATCTGTTCTACTCTATCTGCACTATTCTATCTGATCTACTCTTTCTGCACCACTCTATCTGATCGGAATAGTGGGCTAGTTCTGTTCGGAATAGCTCCAGTTCCTGAGCAGCATTGTTCTACTGTATCTGCAATGAAATTACCGCGCAACGGCGAGCTTCGTTCTAGGTATCAGAGATTAAAGGATGTCTTGATAATAATCATAGATTCTTATCATTTACTTGGCTCATCATGCTATTCATTTACTTGGCTCATCACGCTATTCATCTATCGAAAAAGCGCACTACCTAGCAGCTAGAAAATCGTTTAAAGCTCTTATTGCACAGAAAAAATGTGAGTACAATTTAAGGCTGGCAGACAGCCTGTGCAATTGCAGGGATCCCAAAACCTTTTGGTTGACTGTCAAGCGGCTAAAAGGTGTTTCGTGCAACTTTAACCTTAACAAGGATACCTGGGAAATTTTTTTCTCACAAATTTACACCGGGTCGTCGCCACTTCAAACTGGTTTATATCTTGGAACTTTTGATCCCATACTCGACACTGCTGTTGATAATAATGAACTTTCCGTAGTCCTGCATAAGTGCAAGAACGGCAAGTCCCCTGGGTGTGACGGTATATCATACGAGTTTTTGAAAAGCCTGCCGCAAAACTGGCAACTTTGTCTCTGCAATATGTTCACTAAGATACTTGACAGTGGCAAAATACCGAGTCTCTGGACCCAGGTTACATTTTCTATGCTATTCAAGAAAGGTACTCGTGACGATCCAAGCAACTATAGGTCCATCGCTTTGGTTAATTGTACACTCAAAGTCTTCACCCAAATTTTGCAGAGTAGGTTATCATTGTGGCTTGAACAACATCCAATTATCCCTGAATCTCAGTCGGGCTTCAGAAAAAAGCGAGGCTGCATTGACAATGTCTTTGTTGTAACTGCTTTAATTCAAAATCATCTTCGACTTAAAAAGCGGAAAATATATGCTGCATTTATTGATTTTCGCCGCGCATTCGACACTATCTGCCACTCTATTCTGTGGTCAAAATTATTCGAGCTCGGGTTTAGTGCGCGATTTATTTCCGTAATAAAAGACCTATATGATAATGCTTCTGTTAAAATTATTGCTACTGATGGTCAGACGAAATCTTTCAACGTAGACTCCGGGGTTTGGCAGGGGGAATCATTAAGCCCGACCCTCTTCAGCGTCTTAATTTCTGATATTGAGAGTTTCTTTTTTCAGAGAGGCGTGAGAGGAATCAGCATTGATGCGCTGCACGATATACTTATGCTGCTGTTTGCAGACGATCTTGTCCTCTTTGGTGATTCCGAGGTTGACATTCAGAGAAAGCCCGGTATTTTGGGTGAATATGCTGAGGCGAATAAGTTGGAGATTAACTACAACAAATCCAAAATTGTATGCTTCAATCGGTCGGGTGCTAAACCTAGTATATCCTTTAAAATAGGAAACAACACTATCAATGTGGTCAGTGAATATACCTACCTTGGAATACTGGTCTCTGGCTCTGCTTGCTTTAGAAACATGGCTGAACAGACTGTATTGCGAGCAAAACAAGCGTCGGGAACGATCCTTAACATGACCTCCAGGGTGAGGTTGGGATCCTTCTCGCCAAGTAAAAAGCTATTTCAAACTTCTGTATTGAACTCCTTCACAGGCTGTTTACCGGTTTGGAGCTTGAGATATCCGGATATCGTAGAAAAAATTCAGAAGAGCTACTTTAAGTCCTTATTATCCTCTCCCGAGAAGTACCAGCTCAGCACTTGTTAGGCTGGAAGCCGGCGTTACACATTTATCTTTTTTTATATTTAAAATCACCTTAAACTTTTTTATTAGGTTACTTTTCATGGGAGATGAAAGATTGCCAAAAGTTTGTCTAAAGCGACTTATTCATCTAGATACCAACGCGCCTTCGCTTAAATATAACTGGATATCCCAGTTCAAAGGCTGGTTCGTGGAAGCTGGACTTTTACACCTATGGACTCTTGATCCCTAAATTTTAAAACGTAATCGATCTCAAATTTTGAATCTCTACCAGAAAAATTGCTCCGAGTCTGATATTCGTATAGCAAGAAATGCAACATACACCATTTTTTATAGCACGTTTGACTCTAGCATGCTCACCTATCCTAAGTACCTTGACTTTAAATGCGATTTTTCGGTTGCTAGACTAATTTGCGAAATTCGCACCAGCAACAAGTTTTTTTGCAGACTTAATATAAAAAATATATCCTATCAGTTCAAGCAGGAGGACTTATTACCTATGTTCTGTATGTAATATGCAAGTAGCGGAAACATTTCACCACTTATTTTTTGTCTGCCCACTATATTAACACTTGCGACCATTAAACTGGAGTGACGAAAACTTTGCTTTAGCTCTGGGTGACTTAACCCTCAACTCTGCTAAAGAAATCTATAACACTGTTGCAAATATTTTAAAGCTAAGATCGTTCCTGCGTAACGAATGAGGCAACGTATTAAATTGTGTAACATTTTTGTTTTTTCCTTGTTTTCCTGGTGATTAGTGATGGTGGGTACTTTTGAACTTTATTGCACTATATTTAAAAGTTTAATTTTTTATTTTTATTTTTTATTTTTTTGGTTATTGGGTTTTCTTTTTGTTAATATTATGCACTTTGTTTGTTTCACTAGTATTTAATTTATGCTTTTACGTGAACTCATGTTCATAAGATTGTATTTCTTTTGAGAACATTAAATAAATTGAATTGAATTGAATTGGTATCAGAGATGGCGCCGTATATAAAATAGTTTGCAATGAAAATGTGGCGGTAAACTTGGTATCGGTTATAAGAGATGGCGCCGTATGCGGGCTTAGTGATTTTTTTTCATAATAAAGTAAAATAAGTAATTTTGTGTTTTGTTTTGGATTTTTTCGATTTATTATGGTATTAGGCACAAAGACAAATTCAATAAAGCAAAAATCATAAAAATCAGTCCAGCCGTTCTCGAGTTATAAGTGTTAGAACCAACCCAACTGTGTTTTATATATATAGATTTTTGGAATCAGGAAGAGAATATCCATTCGATTATTAAAAAATATACAGGATGTTCCAGTTAAAAAAGTACAAGTTATGACTGCCACATATTTTGCGTGCATCCAGCATGCATAAAAATCTCCTAGCGGTTCTCGGAATTCCCTATCCACTTTGTATTCACATTTTTTCTTCCAATGCAACTATTTGAATAATTGATAATTAATGGTAATAAGCTCCTTATGATAGAACGCCCCTTTCTGAAAAATTTTTAAAAAAAAATTTACAGAAATATTATCTTTAGGTATTCTGTGTTGGTTAGTCGGGAATTAGTTCATTGGTCGCCAGTCTTTTCGTCGAATAGTTTGCCGTTAGCCCATTTTTTGACAATTGAAATTCCAAAAACTCCAAAAGAGCCACTTTAATTTATTTGAAATTAATTTTATCGGTTTCTCTCCTATCTCCCAAAATCCGCCGACGTGCAAACGTCTCAACAGAACTGTTCTCCCGACATAGAATTGTTATGAAAACCTCTTGGGCCCAAAAAAAGTTCTTCACTAATTTACTCTTGTTTTAACCCTTTGTCTTGTTCAACTATAACGCTATATTTTATGGTGCATACTGCTATATGGAAACATAAAATGAAAAAGCATTTTTATGGGGTTTGGGGTTTGCCTCAGTTTGTAGATCCTTGGAGCAACGAAGGAAAAATATCAAAATTAGATTCTGTATACTCCTGATCTAAAAGTAGGTAACTAAATCTGATAATTTTTGAAAATATACAATTTATGTATGATTCCTTAAACTTCATGATAAGGAGTTGAAAAATATTTTTTTCCAGGTTCTCTACGTCAGACTTTATTTTGATGCAATAACTAAAAAATCCCTCTGCTACGGTTTCGTGAAATTCAGCACTGTTCAGGAAGCTGAGAGAGCTCTCGTTACGATGAACGGTGATCTGCTGAAAAAGAAACCTATTCAACTAATAATATGGCGTCCAGAAGCGACCAAGTATAAGAATGCATGCCTCGGAAAGGTGTGTATCCAGAACTTGGATAAGAACATTGATGACAAAGACATATACAACACCTTTTCTGTCTTTGGATCAATCTTGAGATGCGGAGTGACTCTGGATAACGAGGGAAATTTCCATGGAATCGGATTCGTGGATTTCGAAACCGAAGAATCGGCCAATACAGCAATTGAAAGGGTAAATGGCATGATTTGGAACGATAAAAATCTGCATGTTAGCAAATTTGTGTCGTCATGTATTGAACGTCAGAAGCTTCAAAAAATATCCAGACTGGCTACGTTGTTTTTGAAAAATTTAGACCCAAACATAAACGATGAGAAGCTCTACCAACTCTTTTCCAAATTTGGTCTAATAACTAAAATTGTACTTGCTCGACATGCAGATGAATCATTAAAAGGCACCGGATTTGTATGTTTCGGAGCTCGGAAGTATGCAAAAAAAGCTGCGTTGGTAAGAAATATTGACTCATTTCAGTGAGCGTTGAAATAATACCTAACGCAATTTATTTTCAGGCATTGAATGGCACAATGTGCGAAAAGAAAAAACTTCGCATTTCATTTGCGCAAATACCCAAGGAATATGTCTTGGAAACACCTGAGAAGTGTCGACAAGAAATGGAAAAGAGGAAGAAGAACGAAGGAAAGGAGATAGATAACAAGAAACTAAAGGTAGAGTTCGAGCCTTACGGATGTATAACATCTACCACGGTGATTGCCAAAAAAAAATGTACCTCTAGCTCTTTTTTTTTCTTCTAATATATGAATGTAGGACGTTGGTATCTTGAGTAATTATTAATTGAAAAATATATTAAAATTGAAAAATTATTGCTTATAATGTATAAATTAATTTTTTTGCCAGCGCCATCTATCATCTATTACAACCTTTTATACCTCTTAGGATATAACTATCCAACATTTTTGTTCAGCGCTTCTATTTTTTACAAAAGGTACCACCGACCACTGTAGTAGCCAATGAAACGAGAACATCATAATAAGTATGTGGGAGAAGTTTGATTTTTACACCATTGCGTCATAAAACTTTTGCTCAAGTGAATTTTCTAATAATTGAAATTTTTCAAAGTAGCAATTAAAATCGATCTGTGTTACGAAACCGAAATCGCAAAGTTTGACGTGAGTTGACTATGCAGCAAAGGAATCTTCCGTTTTTAGTTTGTTTTGAAACAATGTTGGGTTCAGATATCTACTATTTTTTTTTAAATGTCACTTTAGGATGTTCAATATCCTAGTACGTCGTCTGGTCTTCCGTCAACAGCGAGTCGTCATGTCACATGGGCACCACAGTTAGAAGTAGTGTCCTTGCCTGGAGTGGCTTCAACAAGCAGCTCCTTTGCAGCAACTTGTAATCCCCAACCAACTGCAGGTACTGTTTGCCATTATAAGAGAAATTGAGCAGGGACAAACATTTTTTTTTTTTAAATATATAAAATATTTTAGGGCTATTAGAAGAATTTGTCCGAAATTATTCTATTTCTGAATCTCGTTTTTTTTTGTTTTTTTTTAATTGATGACATTGATGCGCAGCATCTGAAATCATGATAGTGGCGCAATATTCATTGTCGCCGTAAATGTGTAACGTCAATTTGTAAAAAGTTCACTTTTGGTTTATAAGATACACACATGAGCTTGAAGTCGCAATGATAACGGCATTCAAATGTTGAAGTCTTTCGGGTATCTATTAAAAAAATGGGCACTCCTTGGGCGAACGAAAACCTTAAAAAAAAAGGTTATTCAAGACCCAGGAAAAGACAAAATTTGAGGTCAAAAAAAAAGTAACTCATAATACAGAAAAATAAGGGTTATTTTGGCTTAACATTATTGTTCGTCTGCGATTTCTTTAGGTACTTCCTGCACAACTCGTCGAGGTTCTCCAAATATCAATGCCGCGTCCGAAGAATTTCTAACACCCGAAGTGAGTAGTATTCTAGATAAAATGACAAATTCTGTAGCTTGAATTATTGTTCTAGGAAAGGGAAGCTGAAGAGAGGATGTTTGATAGCTTCAGAAGAAGATTTACCAAGAATAATTAGGTTTAGTTTCTCAATAGTTTAATGTAAATTATAGTTAATATTTCCTAGTTTTGTTAGTTATATTGAAAAATGATAAGGTGTCCACAACACGGGACCCCTTTGATGACCATTGTTCAATTACTATTTTAATTTTAATTTTTCTCGTTTTTGTTGCAAAATATTGCGAAATTATTGAAAATTGTTAAAAACTTATATTTTTAAAAATATAAAATGAGTTCCGTATTGCCTTCTTTGTGCGTCATTATTCACAAAAAAAATTATTTCACCAATAAATATGCGCCTTATTTTTCTCACAGGGACGGATGCCTTCTTTCGATTGCCAGCAAAATGTTATGGGTTATTATTACTAGGGATGTAAAATGACGGTCATTTATTTTTTGTGATAGATGACAGTAATTTTTTTGTCATTTTTGTCATTTATTGTCATTTATGGTCATTTACCTTCAATGTAGAACATAACATTACTTAGGTCAATAATCAAATATCTAATTGGTTGACTAAAGTTCTTCTTTAGTTTCACAGTCATCAGCATCGAAGTCATTCAATGAGTTAGAAAGTACAGTTTCCATCTCCTAGATTAAGTAAAAATCGAAAGTCAGCTGATATTTTTGTGACGCTGTCATATATTTCAATGACAGTCATATGTTTTAATGAGGGTCAGTTGTTATTTTGACAGTCAGAAAATTTAATCGATAACAGAATAAATGACAAAAGTGTCATGAAAATAAATGACGTGACCGTCATTTTCATTTTGACCGTGACATGACATTGTCGGAAAAATTGGCTTACATCCCTAGTTATTACTAGTTAAATGGCCAGAAGATACCGAGTAATCACTTTTTCTGCTGACTTTAACTTTATATTGTCATAAAAGCTTTTGAGATTTACAGTTAGTCAGTTGAAAGAATTCAATTTATAATTGTATTCTCATTTTTATCCATATATTGTTAGCAAGTTGAAATAAAGTTTTTTAAAAAGTAATTATGGGCTATCGACTTGTTAACTGGCGCAGTCGGTAGGATATTTTTCGGTCCTTTTCGGTTCGGTTTCGGCAAGAATTTGGACCGTTAACGCGAAAAATTAGGACTAGCTCCAAGTTTGTTGACTGTGTGGATAGTGGCTAATAATCTAACATCGGTTATCAGAGAGCATCGTGAACACTACTAAAACACCAGTGCGAAAAATTGGACTAAATCGCCAATTTTTGCGAGGACAAAGATGTTTGTGTGAGAAAAATCGCTTGCTAAAAAACTTTGACCTTATATATGTAACAATAAGTGGAGATTTGAACATCATCGTCATTTTTCGCAAGATCAAGCAGTCTTTGGATTGTATTCATGTCCAATATTGATGATATTATTGATCAATTAAGTAGGTAACTTAAATTTGCGAATAGATAATTTATCACCTTAATAATAATCTTGCTCTGAAAACGTTTTTATCCAGACTCGAAGAGCCATTAGGCAGAACGATTCGTTGCATGAGGCCGAAAGATTTGCCTGAAGCCTTGCAGTTGGTTACGCAAGAAAGTAACACTCAATATTTTCAAAATAAGCCAAAAACGCAAAATTTCAATACACCTGCTCAATACGCACACCAATCAAAAGCACAAAATTTCAATACACCTGCTCAATACAAAAACTTTCAAAATAATCGGTGAGACCGAACTATAACAAAACTCAGCAAAAATTCCCAACCAAATCGCAGGTTTTTGGGAAAAGGCCCCAAGTAAATGCCTTTAAATCAGATCCAAACAAACCGCTGCCAAAACCAACGCCAATGAGCACCACTTCGCACAATACCTTGCCCAAACAATATCAATATCCTAATTCCAACCAACCACGCCCAACTAGCAAAATAAATATCCAAAAGAACAAAAGTATTGTATAGACATCCGTTAGTGCCCTTTTGAGAAGAGTTTTGTTCTATAACGCCAAGAGTTGACAAACTTTTAGGGAATGATCCAAATTATTCTATAATTTGGTTGTAAGAGTTAATATACAACAAAAATTAAAGAGCAAACAGCAATCAGATGTATCTGTGTTGTTAGCGTTGTATAAATATTTATATAACTTTTTACAAAGCCCTCTCAAAACAGTTAGAAAAGATAGATAAAAGTGCTGCATAGCAGTTCTAATGATTGATAATACAGCTTCTATAAAACAGTTTTATATACATATTGTACTAAGTTGTATAGCTTACTTTAAAACCATTTGATAGAAGATGTATATATTAATAGATTACAGCTTCTAAAGAACTACTTCAAAACTATTTTATAATGCGTTTATAAGCTCAAAAATTGTAACTATTATAAAATTCGTATATCATTAAATTGTCGCTTTCAGAATAAAACGTTTACTAGAACTCCGTTATACAACCTTAATCTTCAATTCATTCTGGAGTTGAATCCGCTTCATTCTGAAGTTTGAATGCCTATTTTTTTGGCCAAAATAAAGTATTCTTAATTCTTATGTTCTCATGACTCGGGAACAGTTGTTAGTTCTTTCTTGCATTTCTCTATCGTTTCCACTATTTTAAACATTTCAACGGCACGTCGAAACGATCCTGATGGGTGGGTTGCCAGATAGGGCAGTTTATATGAAGATCATCTATTTTGGTTAGAAAAAAGATATAAAATAGTAAAATAGATGTAAGGTTTCAGGTCATGCAATTAACTATTGTTTGTTCGTATATTGCTTAAATCCTGTTGAAAAATCCTTTATTCGACGTTTGAGTGGAGAAGAAAAAGTGTTTGTCACGACTTTCGTCTTAGTCCACTTTAACATTGGCAACCCTGTGAAATTTTAAATACTGCATGTATAGGCTGCACTTTTAGCGCATCCTTAGAGAACTAAAGCCTCGTATAATGACGCAAATAGAACAGAAGCATTGTATAAAAAATCCGCCATATTTTCATTTGTGTTTTTGCTTTTTCGTATGACGCCATTGTGGAACAAACATTTTGTAATACAAAAAAATCCATAAAATAATCATTTTTTCGGGGAAAACCCGCTGTTATGTAGTTAATCCATCACTTACTTTCAAATCTTGCCCAAAAATAGCAAATATCATCAATATTATTATTTTTAGTTTTCAATGCAATCGAATTTATTGAACCTAATTTTCATGAATGAAGAGGCGCATGCATTTTTTGCTGCAAAAGTATATAGGTTTTGTCAGAAAAAATTTCCGCGCACATAAAATTACACCTCAATATGCGGTTTATTGAAAGATTTTACAACACATGAGCATATTTCTACACCTTCGACTTCGCCTGTTCGCCATGTTAAAATAACATTTATCGACATTGTCTTCTTTCTTGCAAAACGTATACTATACAATACAAACACTGTATAGATATATGTATTTAAATGCATTATACTCTCCTCGATACTCTCCTATAGAATTGTCAAACATCAAACAATATGTTCATAATGCAATTTGTATAAGGCAGTCGACAAGGGTGTCTTTATGACAGTTTTTTGAGAGATGTTTAAGTATGCCTGCAAAAATTTTATAATGATTATATAGCATCACAATGCAGACACAATACCATTGAAACATTTTATAAAAATGGGCTTTTTTGGTTCTGTAGATATCGCATAACAGTTTAAAAACTGCTTTTAAAATAATTTGATTTTATCAACATTTGTTTTGTAGTTGTTTATACAAACATTATAAATATCATTTTGCTAGTTGGGCGGTATAATTATTTCCAATCGCGCTCTAATCAACCACCAAATTTCACATTCGAGGAACTCCACAACACAGACACTGTGGATGAGCCAAACTCGTACTTTGTGTACCAAACCAATAATGATGAAACATACACTGAAAATTATGACCCACCTCAATATAATAACTATTACCCACAAACTGATGACGCTCAATCGTCAAACCAAGAATCAGAAAATTTTATAGATCAAAATGACGAGGTCCAATCACCTCAAAATGATCAGAATTTTCCCAATACTTGCCTAGACAACCAAGGAACCTAGAGTCACAAATAATATCCTATAATAATACAAACACTAGCGAGTTATCGTATATAACATTCCCAGAAAATAACTTAAATTTTTTAATTGATAGTGGGTCCACGAAATCATTCATTGACCCCGACCTGGCCCAAAAATATTTTCCCAATCATATACGATCTGTTCATAGTATTAACATATTTCAACAATCATCTCATCAATTTAGTGCGATGATCCCAGCATCGCGAATTTTCAACTTACAAGGATCCAAAAAATTAAGATTTTATTTATTCAAATTTCACAACGTATTTGATGGTTCAATAGAACTTGATGCTCTCAAATTGTTGCAAGCTAGGATCGACTATAACAACGGTTTTCTTGAAACGCCTCATACACGAATAAAGTTACTTTTCCATAAAACACGACCGAAGATACATAATATTTCAATATCACCTCGCTGTTCCCAAGTAGCGAAATTAAAAACCGACATACAAAATGGCGAAGTAAGTACCTTACCAGAAAATTCATAACTGTGGAAGTCCTAGTTGTCTGTTGATTGCAAAAAACGGTTATGCGTTAGCAATTGTTTTAAATAATACATGCCAACCGATAACACTGGATATATCAGAACCATTTAAAGTAGAAAATTTTGATTACAAAAATTTCGAAAATATCGAACTTAATAATTTCGACACTAATTGTCCACAACCCAAATTCGACTCTTCTCAAATTCGTACTGACCATCTAAACTATGAAGAAAAAAGTGCAATATTGAATTTATGCAAAGAATATTGTAACGATTCGCCAGGCTGTCAAGAATCTCTCGGTATTATCTCTTGAGTATACTAGAATCTAGCGAATTATTCTACTTAATATTCATATTCATAACCATACAAGGAACTGTCGCTAACCTAGCAGTGGCGTAGCAAGGTCCTCATGGGCCCGAGCGCAAACCATCTGATAGTCCCCCCCCCCCCGTCAAAAAAAATATATATTTTGTGGAGCGTAAGGTTGGGTGCGTCAGACCTTCCCCAAAGTCAAGTGATTTTTGTCCAACAAATTTGATGTGATGTCGGTAATGTAATATAGAAATCAGTCGATTGGAATTAAAACTACACGTATTGTTTGTCGTTTTTAATCTGACACTTTCCGTATGAGGACCATAGACATGAGGACTGAGGAGCGAGGGTTTGAAGCACATGACAAAAACAGGTGTGACGTCAGGTGATCATTGGCGTTCTAACGTAGGGAGCCAC